CCCTACGAAATATATGCAGTCTTGTAAAAATCAAATTAGAGCACATATAATGAAATCGTCTTGAATCACCAAAACGAAAAATTATGCCCGATACAATTTAATTATCTGATGGAAGCCCCCTCGAATATTAAGTCCATCGTTAATGAAAATTTTTATAACTATTACATATATTCACAATCATAAAAATGTTGTTCCAATTTAGAATTGTTTTGATAGCTCTTCAGAAAAATCATTAATTTTGGGATGTGTCACTTTTCTATTCAACGCCACATATTGAATTACAATGTTTTCATAACTAATGCTCTTGGTTTTCAATTGCAGGTTCCATAGGCCATGACAATTGCAATGTGTTGAGGTGCTACAGTGTGGTGCGGGTATACGTGAAGGTGCAGTGTGGTGGCTTCGTGTTGAGGCTGGGTGAAGAAGAAAGAAAGAGAAAATCGGCTATCATTATTTCCGGATCTAAAGCCGGAACGCGCGATACTCGTCCGATCGTGACGGTGATTTCTTTGACGTTGCTGCGTCGTGTCGTTCGTCGTTGTCGCCAAGCATCATCTACTGGCACTTCTTCCATCATCGTCATTTATACACGTCAACGACAAACGCCACTATGACGTCGACGAAGATTGTGATAGGGTGACTCGCCGCCCCATCGAAGAGGACTTGGCGGGTCGCTCGCCGATTTCTTTTCACAAGGGTCGTTCACACCCGTGCTTAGCCGAGCAATTGTTTACGCTCTTTCCGACATCTACTCAACTGTTCTTCATCTTTGTATCTTCGACGCTGATCTCGTTGTAGTATACGCGTCAAAGCGTTTGTATTCTCAAGATGTCTTGAAATATTCTTAAAACTTTGCGCGAAAAATTCTCAAGTAGGTACGCTGCGCGCAAGTATCTCCTTCTGCATTAATACGATCATCATTGAAGCTTACAAAACTATAGATCTACCTTCGGGTTCAGCTCTCGAAAGCTTTGCCGTTGTGAAAATCAAAACGTTGTATAGTAGATAAGACTTTTTTATCGAGACGCTCATGTGTGTCCGGCACGTTTAAGCTGAATAAGATCGAAAGTCATTTTTAATTATATATATCCTGTCTAATTCATAACTGACATTTCTTGTTATGAATTTTTTAAATTATTTTTCTTCGTTGTACAATATATTTAAGAATTGAGGGACACACATTTGTCACGAATGGTATTTTAGCGATAAAGAGATTACGGTGGAAGCGCATACCGATGCATGAGAATGTACAGATTCGCGTGAAAATTAATCGTGCTTAAAATTAAGCGTGAGCGTAATTCTATGGACATTACGAGCGCGCGTGTGAACATACCCTTAAACATGTAAACACCATTTTGCAATCAAGCTAGCTCATCAGTGTCACCTGGCATCGTTGTATATGTAAATGTTTCTCAAGTTTCGAGCTATTGTAATGCAGAGATATGTGATATATCTCGTTGATATCACGAAGAGAAAAAAGAATACTCGAACCCTGTAACGATTATTCGAGGATCAAACGGGAGGTACATCACATTACAAGCGATATATCTCGTAAATAACGTCGAGTAAAGTGAGTTCGGTTTAGTTAAAAAAAATGTTTTAGTATTAATATTTTTATACGTTGACGAATGAACAGCAGAGAGTTTCCGCAAAATCATTTTTCGATATACCCCTCATTTTTAATGATTAAGATTCGGCTGACGTCCGAAATTGTGATTTACGATAATTCCATGTTCTCACGATTTCCGCGTGATCCGCGTAGAGAATATTCATTGCTTGGGACTTCACTAATACTATTGCGTGCATAGTTCGTTAAGCTCTTCGTATACACCGCGCGAGGAATGAAAACAGTCATTTAGTATCTACGACAATCGGTCAACTGTTCGATCGACAAAACTGTTTTCCTTTACTGCCAGGTATCACTCTCTCGTAGAGCTGCCTTGAGGAGCAAGCGCTTACGATTATTATCTAAAAAAAAAAATTAATATAATTGGACGTACACTTCGCATTCGTGGGAAATCAGAAATGCATTGTGCAATTAAACTTTGTACAGGAGTAGGTAGCGTGTACATTAGTGACTATTATTATCATCATTGTTATATCGATAATATCGCTATAGGGACGCTCTATGGTCCTCGTTAATTTCGATCGCGTGCGCACTTTTCGCGGCAATATTAACAAATTCATTAAGAGCAGATGCGAAGATCGGTTGTTGTTCCGTATTCATTGAGTGCGAATAAATTCACAATGAAATCTCGTTAAAAAAAAAAAAAGAATACACAATTAAACGCATTTACAATAAATACGTACGTTTGCTACGTATTTTCAAAGATACATTTATACTTCAATGGTCAGATAATAAAAGAAATACATCGTTAAAACCCAGGATTCACGGCCATCTATCAAATTAATTTATGCTCGCATTAACCGCATCGGAGCATCAACAATAATTACTCTGCTCATGTAAAAGCAATTTGGTGGGTCAACAGATGGATTGTAGTTCTAAGTTATAGTCCTGTCTATAATACTGATGGAGAAGAAAACATTGAATTAGGCAGAATTAGCGCTAACTGACGCTCGGTAACGACCGGGCTTTTAGTATCGAAACGTTCAAGTTCGTTCTCAACAGAGAGTAGAACGAGAGAAAAAAAAAGTAGTCGCGTTACAAATCGCCATGTTGCGCGCAAATTTGTATCTAGATTCTTTAGCTGATCGAAAGAACGAAGTCCAACGACGAAGAAGGAAAAAAAAAGAGTAGGTAAAAGACGAGAAGACACGTGCCTCGATGTGCGATGTCTTGCACGCTTATCTCTGGAAGCTTCTTGCATCCCCGCCCCGCTTTATCCTACCTACCCCACTTATGCGAAACCGACCCTCCTGCCTCACGTCGCCGTTGACGCGATGGAGGTTCGTCACATCTCCTTATTTTGGAGAACCCGCGAGCGGAGCCAAAAGAAAAAAAAAACAGAAAGAGATCGCGAGCTATGATCTTACGCGACAGGTGAATCTACGGCAGCGGTGAGTAAAAAACAAAGTCGCGGTCAACAGTCTACTTTCCTCTCCTCGTTTAGAAATCCTAGTTTTTAACGATCGTCCAATGGGGTGAGAGGATCGGTGTGTAATGTGTCGATCTTTCTCTTAACCCGTCGGTGAACTCAGCTGTTCGATATTAATTCGTCAACTTCGAGGTCGTCGAAGGTATAAAGGATGAGACGCCTCTACCTTCGGGAAATACCACGAAGAAACACGTCATAAGGAATGTCATAAAATAATAAGCAGGGAGATTAAAGTGTCTCTCTCGTTCCATTGGTCGAGCGCTGTGGCTACCATGTAGTCGACAAATATATCCATTTCCGGATTGCCTGGGTCGGTATGAATGCATGCCCGCGCGAGTACGTGTGAATAATGTGCATGGAGAGAAAGATGGGAGTGAGTGAGAGAGAAAGTGTACGACAGATTACGATTACGAATAAATATTTTAGGAAGAGAGTGGTCGAAATATTTGAATGGAGCGTCTCTGCGACAGTCTTTTTCCTTGAGCTACGTTCGAAAATGTATCTTTCCGTTGTCCTGCATACATTTTCATAAGAGAACGTCGCAAAGAGAACGTCTCTCGTGTCCGCACTAGAAGTAAAATCTAGAAAACTGCAATCGTTTTCACATTAAAATATTCAGCGTTGAAGTTACCACTAATGAGAAGAGTTGAGCGCTCTCGTTAAATTAAAAATATGAATAAATAATGAAATATATGTTCCTCAGTCAATTTCTTTTTCATTGAGATTTTAATAGGAATGTTAACTCGAAATTAAAATTTAATATTAAAATGTTGCTCGAAACTGAAATTTAACATTAAAAAGGCATAATTGCGATTGGCTTTTCATAAAATTTTTAGAGAAAGATAGGTTTCAACTTTTTTAAAGAAATTATAATAAGAGTAGCGTTACATCATGTGAATTCTTCACCAAATATATCGAACGTGAAGAAAAGGAGATATGAGATGCAATTTTCACCGTAAAAATGAAAAAAAAAAATAAAATAATTCAGCATTATTGTCGATGGATCATTTTTAAATAATTTGTATAAAAAATAAATAAATAACTATTTTCAAATGAGAAAGGCTGCATCGACCGTAGAATGACGTACGTTCTCGAACGTAGTTTCACATCCCTACCTGTTCGAAGCGTCCACTCTCTGAGCGTGGAGCAAAGGCAAAAGAAATATAAAATGCGAAACATATGTCTAATAATGAATGGTTTTGTGTATGTACATATTAATATATAAAAATATATATATATACATATATTCGAATATTATAAAACACCGTGATAGGAGAGAGCCCACTGCTACACGCTACACAATATTATGCAATGTGTAAACGGTGAATACTTATAAATACTAATTTTTAGATAACAGCGCGCTCTAAATGCAAAAAACAATACACCATATACATATATAAATATACATATAAATAAATATATATATATATATATATATATATACATAGATATATATATGACGCGTACAAGCAGTATGTGCATTTTCCAGCACAGATAGTTGGTATTTTGTGTACAAAACTGAAAAAACAATTGTTGGACATTCTCTGGACGCGTTCGGGGCCGCGCATCGTGACGGAGGCGAGAGGATAAAAATTAACGTGAATCTCCGTTGCAATCGCATTGCCGAACGATTGAACAACGAGACGATCGGCCGATCAACGGCGCGGAACGGCACGAACGCGCGTCGCGAACTATCCCGTAGTTACTTCATCACATATATCGTCATCCCATCTGAATGTAATGATATTATCGTCCAAGTTTTAGCGCATTTCTCTCTCTTTCTCTCTCTCTCTCTCTCTCTCTCTCTCTCTCTCTCTCTCTCTCTCTCTCTCTCTCTCTCGCATCCTATCCGACGACGACGCGCGTCCGAACCGTTCCTCTCACGTGTTTTACACGAATGCATATAAGTGACATACCGTTTATTCTGCAAAACCGAATCTGAAAGCGTGTTGAGATTAATTTTCCATATCCTTTAAACGATTCTTTAAAATCCTGGGAATCCTTGACACTTCTCTTTCAACTACTCAAAACTGACACCAAAATCTCTATAACACAGTTACTGACAATGAGCTTGTAAAATATTTAATGTATGTTGATTAAAAGACACTAATTAATTCCGAAGAATCAAAATGACATAATTCGTTAAAAAAAGAATAAATAAGTAAGTTTATTTTAATAAAAATAATTCAAATTTGCAGCTGTAACGTAAAGAAAGTGAATTAACATTTTTGTGTAAAATGGCAATTGTTATAAGAGTAATATCAGAATTAAGAAATAATAATATATTCAAATATAATAATGTATTTTTTATCATAAACATTATTTCACAGAAAAAGCTGAATTATTTCTACTCGTCAGAATCTTTGTTATACAAACAATCGCTTCATAAAGGGTTCAATGAACCCACTGTCAGCTCCGAAGGGATATAATTGAGTAGGTCCACGTCAGCTCCAAACGGGTAACAAAAAGAACGAAATATTCCATCTAAGAAAACCTAAATCTCATGACGTTTCTCGTAAGAAGTCATCTCGCGGTTTGCAGAATAGCGGATGTCCACAGCAGTAACCGTAGTGGAGTCGGGCTGTAAAAAGAAGCACGAACGAAAAGCGATGGAAGTCAACTTGTCATAATCATAACTGAACCGTGAACACAGACGAACGGGGTCTACTTGTATCATAGCATTTTACGATAGTGAAGCATTGTAACGACAGTAATAATAATAAGGAAGTAAAATTCATAGTAACTTAAGAGTGAGCGCGAGAAGAGAGAAACGCGTGAGGGAGAGTGTAGGCGGTGCGAACCGGGGGTTCTCCAGTTCTCCAATCCTTTCCACGACATTGAAGAGCCTTCGGTTTCACAACCGCGAAAATAAGCTCGCGGCATACTTTCACGCGGGATACTCGTCGCACGAATCCTCTGCTCGGACTTGCATCTGCCAAAGGAAAAACGCGTAAATGTCGAGGGTGCGGAATGTCTGGGCGAGGGGGAAGAAATCAAATCGCCGTTTCGAGTATCCGGCGTAGGAAGAACTAGCCTAGAGATTTTTACCAAAATGACTCCACGCCACCGTGAGGTGAAGGCAGTTACAGTTAGATGTAATTCATATTTCGTTCCGTTTCAGCGAATGTAAACTTCGCGGTCTTTGACGAGGAGCAGCATTCGGGGAGTTCCGCTGGCGCGATCACTCGGAACGCAATTTTGCATTTTGTCGTACGATTCTGGCGTACTGAAAAAAAAAAAGTCTAGTAATAATAATTAAGTCTAAACGACAAGTTACTACACTATTAAATGTCAAAGGAGCAAACCTCGATCCTTGAGTAAATAACACTTTGTTATTTGTAACTTCCATATCTGTCAAAATGTAAATCAATCCATTTCTGTGATTAGTTTTAAAGTAAACAATGTCTGCACTTAGCAAATAATAAATTAAATTTCAATCAAATTTAATACATTTTCTTGAGTTAAATTATTTACTACAACTTCATTGTCTTATATTCAGTTAAATTAATGATATATTGAAACGATAATGATTTATTGATTAAAAATAACTTAAATTGGATATAATTGATATTATGAATTTAACAGTATAAAAAAAATTTTAATAAAATAATTTCTATCAAATAATAGTAAAACCAACTGAGTGTTAATCTTACTTTCCCAAATATTATCTTATTTTTAGACTTTAATTATTAGACTTGGTTACCATTATGTTTTGGTTACATATTGGTGCAATATGTAATATTGCACCAATATACTGAACAAAGTACATTTAATATGGTAGCCATTAGACTTTTTTCAGTGTAGATTTTTATCCAGATTTTGGTTGTGATTGTACGTAACATGGTGTAATCAACTTTCCGAAATGTGCGACGAGCAAGATGTTGCGACTCCGCCTCCGTGGAGGATGAAATGATCTCCCTAAATCTTTTTTATTATCGCGCCGTTTCGTCCGGATGCGAGGAATTAATTATCGATAAGATATAGGTCGTGACGTTAGGTCTAGGACATTTTCTTTTTTAAAAACAATGCGCACAGAGGCGCTTGAATAATTATGTTGCGCTAGCGAGACGACTAGCGATGTAACTATTCGCGCCTCGCGTCGCCGCCGCATAATTTAACTTACGTTCGCATTGTTTTTAAGAAACATTCACTGCACGCGTTCTCGCATGCGCGAAGCGTATGCTTTTCTTTCCGCTCAGTTCGTCCGCCGATATTAGCGTCGCTCGGTTCAGAACATTCG